GCCACCCTCAACACCATTGTTAACGAGGAGCTGCTCAAAATATCGACTTGGATGACAGCCAATAAACTTACACTTAACACTGGCGAAACCTACTATATTATGTTTGGTAGCAGAGCAGGTGTTGCGCAACTTAACATTAAGATCGACAACACTCTAATTGCCAGACATAATGAGGGCAAATTCCTTGGCCTATACCTCGACAACAACCTAAATTTCAGCACCCATATCCAACATATAACAAAAAAAAGTATCCACAACGGTGGGGATCCTCTCCGAGATACGATACAACGTGCCGCAAACTGCCCTTCTCACACTATACCATTCACTTATATATCCATACCTCACCTATGCTATCTGTGCTTGGGGTTCAACTGCAGCAACACACCTAAAGCCAATAATAACCCAACAAAAAGCCGCAGTAAGAACAATCACTAAATCCCATCCCTGGCAACACCCCCCCCCACTCTTCATAGATCTAAACTTACTCCCTGTTCAGAACATCCACACTTACTACTGTGTAATCTATATCTACAGGACCTTAAATTCCAATATTAACCTTGACCTAAAACGCTTTCTTGATAGTTGTGACAGGATCCACAGGCATAACACCAGACACAAACATCTCTATGACATTCCCCGTGTTCGACTAAACCTTTAAAAAAATTCAATGTATTTCAAAGGACCTAAAATCTGGAACACCCTACCTGAAAACTCTAGAACTGCAGACACATTCATCGCTTTCAAAACTACAGTTAGAAAACATCTTATCTCCCTGATCCTCCCCGACAACTAACTACATGAACTGTTGCATATGTGTCTTACCTAACAACTAACTACATGATAACCACCTGGTGGCTCACAATTACATTCACTCACCCACTGGCTATAAACCCAGAAATACTAATCTTAATCTTAAAATAATAAATCCTAACTAGTCATAAGTTTGCCTATGATACTCCAATATAGACACTTTGTATTGTGCCAAAACAAAAGCATTCACATTGCTAAACTCACAAATTATGATGTAGTCACTTAGCCTTAATACCATAATCTGTAAGGATTTAATGTTAAGAATTAATCTAAGTCTGCCCAAAATGCCTAGCCATGCTAGGTGTCCTAGTGGCCCCCTCTGTAATTAGTATTTTATAACATGTAAACCACACAATACCCAAAACCTGTAAACCCCACATTGTAACCCTTATAGAGAATAAACTTGAATTGAATTGAATTGAATTGAATAATTCTTGACTTCTCAAAACCCTCTTACCCCCATTTGGGGGGGATGGGAGATGGTGGCAGTGATGAGTGTGACGCTGACCGCTGGCCACATTCTAAGAGAGCCAGGAGGAGGCAACAGGCTCACTCTGCGCTATTCTGAGAAAAAACTTCTCCTCACTCCTTCAGTTGCAACCTTGCAACATTGCATAGCTCCTGATGATGCACTGAGAAGTGTGAAAGTACTTGAGCTAAAGATTTCCACCCCTTGTGGCTTGTCTTGCTTAGTTAAGATCGCCCGTCTGTGATTGTTTGCAATATGAACGCCACTCGCCAACTCTTCTCCCAGTTTTCCTGCTTGTTTCCTTCCTTTACTTTTGCTGTTACCTCCTACAAACGCTTTCTCCTCAAAGCCCATAAAGCTGCACTCAAGTTAATATTTCTAAATAAGTGCCTAAGTGAACATGTTCTACCTACTGCAGAACAGGTTGGTCAGGCTAGCTACTACACTGTTAGATCAGCTTCACAGGTTAGTGCTCATTAAAAATATTGACCAAGTAAAACTTGGAAAGAAGATATGCTTTTCATAGAAATGAGGAGAAACAAGACAGTATTCTTTAATAAGATTCCCCCAGGCTGGCTTGACTACTGAATTATATTTATAGGGAATTTAGGAGAGTCAGACAGATCACCGAATGCAATCATACAAGGAAATTAGCACACAGAGTGGGTGGACCACATATGCGAATCCGGAGTTTGTTGTGAACCTGTTTAGCAAAAAATAAAGTTGTGACCAACAGGCAGTGCTAGTGTTCGGATTAAGCTTAGCGCCCTCAACTAATGATTTTAATTATATAAACCTAGCAAAATCGTTTTGCATGGTGGAAAAACACGGTGACTCGACCCCTGATATTTTTAATATATGCAAAGGTATGGTATATGGAACATTACTCCAACCAGTGCTACCCATCTGCCCATTAAGATTCATTAAAGCTTATAAGGAGCTCAATAATGATCAGACTTTGCACCTTTCAAGAGGCGATAAATCGAAGGTAGCTGATATTTTGGACAAAACTGAATATTTAGGGAAAATGAGCCAATTATTGAACGATAACGAAACGTAGGAAGCACTAAGAACCCTACAGTGAAGGTCAACAGCCATTCAACTAACAACTTAAAACGCTATTGAAGGGGAATGATGAACTAATTAAACGTCTATCCGTTAGGTCGGCAACTTTACCATATCTATATGGGGTAATCAAGACTCATAAGCCAGGACACCCAGGCGGTTCTATTATAAGGTCAGTAGGCTCCGCAGCATATAACCTATCTAAATGGTTGGTTAAATTGCTAACTTCCATTGTCGGTAGGATCTCAGATGCACATATTAAAAACAATGTTGATCTTACTGAAAGACTCCAGAAATTAAATATCCCTCATAACTTTACCCTAGCGAGCTTTTACGTCACAACTCTGTTCACCAAAGTCTCTGTCCTGACTTGCTTTCGTACCTTGAAGAGGAACTAGAAAAATTCCCCATATCCTACCCCACGAAAATAATAATTGAATTGATAAAACTTTGTGTTACTGATTGTAAATTCGTGTTTGAAGGGAAATACTATGCTCAAAAACAAGGCATGGGAATGGGAAATTCCCTTAGCAACTTGTATATGGAATTCTATGAGACTAGACTTCTTGAAGACATTCTCCCAGATAAAGCTAGTTAGTTCACATATGTAGATGATGTTCTATGCCTATGGCCTAATGATCACATTAATGAGTTTCTACCTAGACTCAATGGGCAAGTACCTTCCATTAAGTTCATTACAGAACATGAAATAAATAACACTTTGCCTTTCATAGATGTTTTAATCCATCGTATTGATAGAAAATTCAAATTTACAGTTTATAGGAAGTCCACCAATGTGTCGTCATACATTCACTACAATTACAATCATGAAACTAGGATAAAAAGGAGAGTGTTCCTCACAATGTTCTTGAGAGCCTTCCGCATCTGCACTCTGGAGTACTTAGAGGACGAAATCAGCAAGATATTCAACATAGCCACATAACTGAGATAACCTAAGGATTTTGTCGAGAAGGCACTAATGTCAGCATAAAAGACTTTCTACAGGACTGAACCTAAGGAAAGTGATGGCTAGGAAAAATATACTAGTTTTACCATACAATGAGAATCTGGTTTGTCTATGTGAGACATTAAAAATGATCAATATAAACCTTGCTTTCAAAAACACAGGGACAGTGAAACAAAGGCTGATTAAAAACACATCCTCCAACAAAGTTGGTGGGGTTTACACGGTCCATTGTACTCAGTGTCCTCTCTCATATATAGGTCAAACAGGTAAAATTCTGGAAACCAGAATAACCCAACATAAATACTCAGTCAGGACAGGGCAGGAGTCGAACTCTATCTTTAACCACGTTAGCTCCTGTAATCACCCACCGGGATGGGATGCTGCCCAAATTATTGTACCAAACAGTCTGTCAGAGAAATAAACATAATTGAAACTTCTCTCTGGAAACACGTCAGAAATACCATATATAACTCAAGTTATGGGTTATACAAACCCGATAGCTATCTAGTAGAGTCTATTGTACACAACCTTAAACAACAATGCTATACAAAATCAGAGGATTGCTCATTATGACAGGTGGTCTCATGACGGATTCGTGACACTCGACCAGTTAGTTGTCTACGCACCAAAACACCATGCTACGTCAGTTGATGCATGACTATATAACGCGTTTATCTGTGATTCCACCATACATTGACAAGATTACCCGATTACATACGTAGTGGGTTAAAGGACATTAGAAGTAGAAATCTGGATAATAGAAATATTATAGGAATAGTATAGAAGAATCCCAAGTAAGGCATAATAATCGATACTGAGAAGAATAGTAGACAGTATAAAGGATACGTCTCAGTACCCCTGAGAACAATCGGGAGAAAGACATTTAAACGGACAAAGAGCACATTCATTTCCTTTTTTTATTAATTGAATAGGTTAAACAGAATAATAGCAGTCCATATATATATGTCGTGCCGAATATGTAAAACTGGTCAATTAGCAAGAACTCATTTAAAATTAAGTCTTTTCCAAAATTTTCTCTTATACGTTTAAAGATATATTTTTTTCATTAATGTTAATGTAAAAATTTTTAATTTTGGAATAAAAGAATCTTAGAAAACTTACCTAACCTTATTATAACAAATGCAATTTATTTTAGCTTAACCCAACTAAATATATTTTAAATACGTTCACAATAATTTAGTACTAAACAAACATATTCAAATATATTTTTTACGTTAGGTTAAGAATGATTTTGGCGAAATTATTGCATACACAAATTTTCACTTGTCCTATATGGCAAGATGAGCGTTGCTATTTAACCAAGATTCGCAAGTTCTGCCTATTCGGCACGACATACAATATATATATATATATATATAATATATTATATAAATTATATATATAAAATATATATTATATATATATAATATATATATATATATATATACATATAACTATATATATATATATTAATATATATATATATATATATATAATATATATATATATATATATATATAATATTATATATATATAATATATTTATATTGTTTAACTGAACTAAAGTTCATAGAAGTGCGTAATTGTTACTTTCATATCACATTCACATTTTTTATAAACAATAGAGTCACATAGAAATATTTCAACTTATAATGTTGTGTCAGTAATGTTTTCTTTATTACTCTTCAGCCTGACATACAGGACGTAGTGAAGCCATTCCCAATTAAAGGAGAAATAAGCCTTATCAGTACGGACAACAAGGTAAGTTATTGAGTATCACGTCCAGTTTGTTCCTCTTTTCGGAAATACTGTTTAGCTTAAAATTTTAAGAGTCTGTAGTGAAAATTGTCTCAAAACGTGGACGAAATATGCAGACCCTTTGTTTCCCATGTTTTATTTACGGAGTATCGAGTATCCACCACTTCTTGCAGCTGTATGATTCATACTAGAGTATTATTTTTATAATATTCATGGGTGAGCGCTAAACCCATGGAGGTCATATAGCATCAAGGAAACTTCCTTAAAGATAGACGACTTTAATGTTCTTATGTATATAATACACAATAAGAAGGAACTGTTCATATCTATCTGTTAACTACGTTACACAATGTGTTAACTACGTTACACAATGTGTTAACTACGTTTCACAATGTGATAACTACGTTACACAATGTGTTAACTACGTTTACACAATGTGTTAACTACGTTACACAATGTGTTAACTACTTTTACACAATGTGTTAACTACGTTACACAATGTGTTAACTAGTTACACAATGTGTTAACTACGTTTCACAATGTGTTAACTACGTTACACAATGTGTTAACTACGTTACACAATGTGTTAACTACGTTACACAATGTGTTAACTACGTTACACAAGGTGTTAACTACGTTACACAATGTGTTAACTACGTTACACAATGTGTTAACTACGTTACACAATGTATTAACTACGTTACACAATGTGTTAACTACGTTACACAATGTGTTAACTACGTTACACAAGGTGTTAACTACGTTACACAATGTGTTAACTACGTTACACAATGTGTTAACTACGTTACACAATGTGTTAACTACGTTACACAATGTGTTAACTACGTTACACAATGTGTTAACTACGTTACACAATGTATTAACTACGTTACACAATGTGTTAACTACGTTACACAATGTGTTAACTACGTTACACAATGCTTCAGTCAGGCCTGATGAAATTATCAATAATTAGTAATTTAATAACACAAGTGTGAACTAATTGTAATTACTAAACGTTTGGGCGACGCTGTAGCTTCACCAGTGGGACACACAGGTGATTGATCACTTGAGGTTTACCTCTCCACTGCTTCTTTTTTTGGTCACCTCTGTATTCGAGTGGAGAAGCCTGCTGTGTAGGCGAAACGTTTCTGAATTAAAGATTACAAACTGATGCGCATCTTCATCTTCTTCTCGGCACTGTATTCCATTATTATTGCTTTTATAAAATAAATAATAATAATATAATAATAATAATAAATAATAATAATAATAATAATAATAATAATAATAATAATAAAATAATAATAATTATTATTATTATTATTATTATTATTAATATTATTATTATTATTATTATTATTATTATTATTATTATTATTATTGGTTTTTAATAACGTCAAAGAACAATGAAATCCATCAGTGATGTGTGAGCATGTGGAATAATATGCTCATAATAACCGGAGGATAATCAAATTATTTCAAGATTCTTAGTATCAAGAGCCCCGGCTCCAGCATCAAGACACCTTCCCCGCCCCTCTCACTTAATTAAAGAGTTCTTGTAGCATGCTTACAATTATTTTTTCTGAAGTCGTGGAAACCGCTATTTCATATTTTTAATTGTTCTGGTGGAAAATACAGTTCCAGTTCTTTGTAAGTCGTGGCGATGTAGCCATTCAGCGGGTCTTCAGTGATCCAGGAAGTCTGTAACGCCCTGGAGGAGACAGTGTCTTGCATGTGTCATACTGTTTAACCTAAACTTGCAATAAACAAGTCGTTTATCGTTCAGGTGATGTTGCACCCATCGAGCGAGGTCTACAAGGAGGTGGAGCTAGCTATCCAGGTGCACTGTGCCAGTGAAGATGTTCGTCTCTGCCTCAGTGATGTCATACTGAAATATAATATGTATGTTAATAGTTTAATCATTCATTTGCCTCTCCCTGTATAATATAGTTCAGGCTGAACTACTAAAATGTTTAAACAATAATATACATGATGAGAGAGTGATGTGTAGATCACGGTACATACATGTTGAGAGAGTGATGTGTAGATCACGGTACATACATGTTGAGAGAGTGATGTGTAGATCACGGTGTATATATACTGAGACAGTGGACTGGAGACCACGGTGTATACATGCTGAGAGAGTTTAGGAGTTCACGGCGTATACATGCTGACAGAGCGATGTGTAGATCGCGGTGTATACATGTTGAGAGAGTGGTGTGCAGATCACGGTGTATACATGTTGAGAGAGAGTGGAGATCACGGTATATACATGTTGAGAGAGTGGAGTAGAGACCACGGTGTATACATGTTGAGAGAGAGTGGAGATAACAGTGTATACTTGTTGAGAGAGTGGAGTGGAGATCACGGTGTATACATGTTGAGAGAGAGTGGAGATCACGGTATATACATGTTGAGAGAGTGGAGTAGAGACCACGGTGTATACATGTTGATAGAGTGGTGTGTAGATCACGGTGTATACATGGACAGTGGTGTGTCGATCACGGTGTATACATGGAGAGTGGTGTGTCGATCACGGTGTATACATTTTGAGAGAGTGGTGTGTGGATCACGAAGTATACATGTTGAGAGAGTGGAGTGTAGGTCACGGTGTATACATGTTGAGAGAGTATTGTGTAGATTACGGTGAATACATGCTGAGAGAGTGGAGTGTAGGTCACGGTGTATACATGTTGAGAGAGTATTGTGTAGATCACGGTGAATACATGCTGAGAGAGTGGAGTGTAGGTCACGGTGTATACATGTTGAGAGAGTATTGTGTAGATCACAGTGTATACATGTTGAGAGAGTGGAGTGGAGATCACGATGTATATATGTTGAGACAGCTTTGTGGAGATCACGGTGTATACATGCTGAGAGAGTGGTGTGTAGATCACGGTGTATAAATGTTGAGAGAATGGAGTTGAGGTCACGGTGTATACATGCTGAGAGAGTGGTGTGTAGATCACGGTGTATACATGTTGAGAGAGTGGAGTTGAGATCACGGTGTATACATGTTGAGAGAGTGGAGTGTAGATCACGATGTATATATGTTGAGACAGCTTTGTGGAGATCACGGTGTATACATGCTGAGAGAGTGGTGTGTAGATCACGGTGTATAAATGTTGAGAGAATGGAGTTGAGGTCACGGTGTATACATGCTGAGAGAGTGGTGTGTAGATCACGGTGTATACATGTTGAGAGAGTGGAGTGCAGATCACGGTGTATACATGTTGAGAGAGGAGTGGACATCACGGTGTATACTTGTTGAGAGAGTGGAGTGGAGATAACGGTGTATACACGCTGAGAGAATTATGTGTAGATCTCGGTGTAGACTTGTTGAGAAATTTTTGTGTAGATCACGGTGTATACATGTTGAGAGTGGTGTGTAGATCACGGTGTATACATGTTGAGAGAGATATGTCTAGATCACGGTGAATACTTGTTGAGAGAGTGGAGTGGAGATAACGGTGTATACACGCTGAGAGAGCTAAGTGTAAATCACGGTGTATACACGCTGAGAGAGCTATGTGTAGATCACGGTGTAGACTTGTTGAGAAATTTTTGTGTAAATCACGGTGTATACATGTTGAGAGAGTGGTGTGTAGATCGCTGTGTATACATTTTGAGAGAGTGCCGTGTGGATCACGAAGTATTCATGTTGAGAGAGTGGAGTGTAGATCACGGTGTATACATGTTGGGAGAGTCGTGTGTGGTTCACGGTGTATACATGTTGAGTGAGTGGTGTTCGGATCACGGTGTATACATGTTGAAAGAGTGGAGTGGAGATCACGTTGTATACATCCTGAGAGAGCTATGTGTAGATCACTGTGTATACATGTTGAGGGAGTATGTGTAGATCTCGTGTAGTACATGTTGAGAGTGGTGTGTAGATCGCGGTGTATACATTTTGAGAGAGTTGTGTGTAGATCATTGTGTATACATGTTGAGAAAGTGGTTTGTAGATCACGGCGTATACATGTTGAGAGAGTGGTGTGTATATCACGGTGTGTACATGTTGGGAGAGTGTGTAGATCACGGTGTATACATGTTGAAGTGAGTGGTGTATATCACGGTGTTACATGTTGAAGAGTGGTGTGAGATCACGTATGTACATGTATGAGAGTATGGTGTTAGATCACTGGTGTATACATGTTGAGGAGTGGTGTGTATATCCGGTGTGTACATGTTGAGAGTGGTGTGTAGATCCGGTGTATACATTTGAGAGAGTGGTGTGTAGATCACGGTGTATACATTTGAGAGAGTGGTGTGTAATCACGGTGTGTACATATTGAGAGTGGTGTGTAATCACGGTGTATACATGTTGAGAGTGGTGTGTAGATCACGGTGTATACATGTTGAGAGAGTGGTGTGTATATCACGGTGTGTACATGTTGAGAGTGGTGTGTAGATCACGGTGTATACATGTTGAGAGAGTGGTGTGTAGATCACGGTGTGTACATGTTGAGAGTGGTGTGTAGATCACGGTGTATACATGTTGAGAGAGTGGTGTGTATATCACGGTGTGTACATGTTGAGAGAGTGGTGTGTAGATCACGGTGTGTACATGTTGAGAGTGGTGTGTAGATCACGGTGTATACATGTTGAGAGTGGTGTGTAGATCACGGTGTATACATGTTGAGAGTGGTGTGTAGATCACGGTGTATATATGTTGAGAGTGGTGTGTAGATCACGGTGTATACATGTTGAGAGAGTGGTGTGTAGATCACGGTGTATACATGTTGAGAGAGTGGTGTGTATATCACGGTGTGTACATGTTGAGAGTGGTGTGTATATCACGGTGTATACATGCTGGGAAAATATGTTTTGATTCCTGTTTCAGGGACTGTAATATCCTGGACCGGTGGAAACATCTTACTTGTTGAAGATTTAGATACACGTGCAACATATATGTATTTTTCTTTGTCGACGTTTCGCCATCCAGTGACTTTATCAGTATAAATTCAAAGATATAATGGAAAGATTGTAGACCTTTATACTAAAGATGGTTGTAATCAGTCCCTTCCACTTGGCGTGTATGACATATGGTGAAGACCACGATCTGATCCCACGCCAAGGCTAGGTAATCCTCGCTTGATATATGTTACTTGAATTTATACGTCTTTGAACATATATTATGCTTTGCGATTGTCGAATCCAGTGCTTACAGTGAAAACAAAGATTTACTATGGAATTGTAGATCCTTTATCTAATGAGCTTAAATATCTCGCATTGCGTTGGCTGTGAAGAACTTTGTGTGGGGCCAGTAGTCCGCAAGTGAGGACTAATTACCACTCTTTTATATATAGTTTATAGATTCTTCATGTCTTTGAACTTTATTTGTACCTCTTGATGGCATAACTCTACTTACTGAAAGTCAAATATTTAGCACTTGTCTAGTCCTTCATCTTTGTATTAATGCTTTAATGGCATGTTACCTGTTTTAACTTTTGTCCAGTTAGTTATTAACTTCAATTAAGCAAAGCTAAATTATGATAGGTGGTAATTAGCACATGTTTTTTTTCTCTCTTATGGATTTATTGCAACTTTCGTCTCAGGGACTTTATCAGCCTGATTATATAAATTCCTGTAATGCTAGTAAACGTTGCACATTTATTTACATTAGTTAGCACTTGTACTTTACTTTACATATAATCTTATCCTCGGCCATATAAATCATGCCTATACGGATGTTAAATGTTTACGTTACAGAGTTGTTATATTTTGAAGGGCAATTATAGCGGCATCTTATTATTAATAAGTATGTAATATTGACATTAGATGCATAAGACAAATGAGGAACAGTTTGGAATCTTTATTGCAGACACGTTTCGGCTACACAGCAGGCTTCTTCAGTCCATGGAGACGAATGGTATAAAATATTGATACAGTGGTAAAAGAGACACTAATGCAGTATAATGCGATCTTTCAGTGACAACTATTCGCCCATAAAGTGGGCTTTATTGAGTTACAAACAGTGCAGCTGCTTGTGACTTATAAAACCCACTGTGTGGGCGAAACGTTGTCAATAAAGAATCACATTATGTCGCAATTGTGTCTTTTCTTCAGTCGAATACAAATGAGACAACAGAAGTAGTGGAAATGTAAAGATGATATCATCAGTCCATCACCCTCGAAGTAGTTTTGAGGAGGTCAGTCCCTCAGCCTGGAGAAGAATTCATTTCCATAGTCTGGAAAAATGTGAAGTTGAAGCATCAAAATGGAGACTAAACTTGAAGACTAAGCTTTAAGACTAAACTTGAAGGAACTTGCATATTGGCAGCAAAGAGTTCGGCAAAGAGATTGGCTTTTTCCTGACTGCTAGTAGAGGTGGTCCCATCCTGTCGATTTAGAGGTGGAATACGCTGATCAAGCAAATAACCTTGTCTGTTCTTGATCAATACTGCCTCTCAACTCCTACATTCTTGCATCTACTAATGGGCGCCGCCTTTCTATCGTCTTCACGACTTTCTGCACCTCATCTTCGACAGTCTTCATTCTCTTGCTTCAGCTTCACATTGTTCCAGACAATGGGAGCCGAATTCTTCTCCATACTTAGGGACTGACCACCTCAACACTATTTTTCCGAGGGTAATGGACTGAGGACATCATTTGTACATCTCCACTGTTTCTGCTGTATGCGACCCAAGAAACCAACTGTGTAGATGTAACGTCGCCACAATAAACATGCCAAACTGATTCACATCTGTCTTTCTCATTAACTTTATTCCTCCTGTTTATTGAGGCTCTGGTTTTTCTGTTATGCATTTTGTAAGTAATTGTGGAATGGTTTCAATTAATTAACCAAAATTTATAACCCTAACTTTAAATCTCTCGTTTAAGAGTGAAGAACTACACACTGATGGCCTCACAACCTATAGAGATCTCCTTCGTGGTGGAGAACCGGGGTGAGACAGCCTACAACACTCTCTTTATGGTACGTGAACATCCTTTATTTTCTCCCTGTGGATTAAATGGCGTATTACCGGTAAATAATAAGCTTTAATTGTGAAGTACAACTAATTTACCTGCCAAATTTTAGTACTGCAGTGAACTGTCCCTCATTACGTGTATTATTAGCCCTTTTATGGATTTTTTTTTTAAATTCTACTTTTAGTATTGGCATACCTCATCTCTGGTTTTGTTAAGTCTTTCCTCTCTGGCGCACCAGACTCTTATTGTCTTCCAAACATTCCTTGATGCTCTTAACTACTTTTTTTCATCTGTCGGACTGAATGCTCATTCCGAATCTAACTTTTCTGCTGGTGTTACTTAACTTAATTTTAATGCCAGAGAGTCGATGTGTGTGTGTGTCTGTGTACTCACCTATTTGTGGTTGCAGGGGTCGAGTCTTAGCTCCTGGCCCCGCCTCTTCACTGATTGCTACTGGGTCCTCTCTCTCCCTGCTCCATGAGCTTTATCATACCTCGCCTTAAAACTATGTATGGTTCCCGCCTCCACTACGTCACTTTCTAGGCTATTCCACAGCCTGAGAACTCTATGACTGAAGAAAAACTTCCTAACATCCCTTTGACTCATCTGAGTCTTCAACTTCAAATTGTGACCTCTTGTTTCTGTGTCCCCTCCCTGGAACATCCTGTCTTTGTCCACCTTGTCTATTCCGCACAGTATTTTATATGTCGTTATCATGTCTCCCCGGACCCTCCTGTCCTCCAGTGTCGTCAGGCCGATTTCCCTTAATCTTTCTTCATAGGACATTCCCCTTAGCTCTGGAACTAACCTTGTCGCAAACCTTTGAACTTTCTCTAATTTCTTGACGTGCTTGATCAAGTGCGGGTTCCAAACAGGTGCTGTACACTCCAGTATGGGCCTGACGTACACGGTGTACAATGTCTTGAACGATTCCTTACTAAGGTATCGGAACGCTTTTCTCAGGTTTGCCAGGTGCTCATATGCTGCAGCAGTTATCTGGTAGTTGCCCAGTTTCCAAGGATGTGTTGAAGATTGTGGTAAGTGGCACACACAGCATATCCTCTCCCTCTCTAAGGACCCACGAGGAGATGTCCGGTCCCATTGCCTTTGAGGTATCTATGTCCCTTAGCAGCTTCTTCACCTCCTCCTCATTTGTATGTATGTCATCCAACACTTGTTGGTATATTCCTTGCTGGTGTCTACCTCTGTTCTGTCCCCCCAGAGGCCTTCCTGTCTCCACTGTATATACTTCCTTAAATCTCATGTTGAGCTCCTCACATACCTCTTGATCGTTTCTTGTGAGTTCCCCAGTGTCTTTCCTCAGCCTTATCACCAGGTCTTTGACTGTTGTCTTCCTCCTAATGTGGCTATACAGCAGTTTCGGGCCAGACTTGACTTTCGATGCTATGTCGTTCTCGTACTGTCGCTGGGCCTCCCTCCTTATCTGTGCATACTCGTTTCTGGCTCTTCTACTAATCTCCTTATTTTCCTGGGTCCTTTGCCTCCTGTACCTTTTCCATTCTCTGGTGCACTTACTTTTTGCCTCTCTACACCTTCGGGTAAACCAAGGACTCGCTTTGGTCTTCCTATTATTTCTGTTTCCCATGGGAACAAACCTTTCCTCTGCCTCCTTGCACTTTGTTGTTACATATTCCATCATCTCGTTTACTGATTTTCCTACCAATTCTCTGTCCCACTGAACCTCCTACAGGAAGTTCCTCATACCTGTGTAGTTCCCCCTTTTATATTTTGACTTTTCCAATTCAATTCCTGTTACCTTTCCCCATTGTGCTCTACATATAATAAAAAACTCAAAACCCTGACGCTAGCTCCAAGGGGCCTCTCAAAGGGATGTCCCCATGTCTGAGTGCTCGGGGTGAACACAGACCAGTCTTGCTGGCCACCCTCCCCTCTCTCTCTGGTAGTGTCCCTGAATTGATGCATGGGTTTTTCAATACCAATTCATCATCTTGGGGCTCTCCATGTTTCGGGACCCCCATGTGGCTCCAGGTTTTCCCGTCGTCTCCCTGGTTAAAATCGCCCATTACCAGTAACTTTGCTCGGGTCGATGAGCTCTTTTCCCACCTCCCCCGTTGTCCACCATCCCCCGTTGTTTTCTTCGAACTCCCCCTTTTGGCCTCCTGCAGTTCTGGGGGTTTTTTATACATCACCCCAAGACCCCTTAGTTCCCCAGACTGAATTTACTTATATGAATCCATTTTCTCCAATCTCCCCCATCCTTCCTTCCCCTAAAACCCCCTCGTTTTTTTTATGACAGGAAACCACTCCTCTCCCCCCCCTCCTCTTTTCCCTTATACTTTTTTCAGTTTTGATACCCGGGGTGTTTTTCCGTGTGTGTGTGTGGTGTAAAACGACCTCGAAACATCGAAGGTATATAAAAAGTGCGCGCGCGGTGCCGACCTAAAAACCCCTCATTCTAAAAAACAAGAGCCCGGGTTTTCACCAAATTCCGAATGAATACACCAACAACACACCCAAAGCGCCAAAAAAAAAAAAAACCCATAAACTAGTCACCCCAAAATTTCAAAGATACATTCACGCAACAAACAGATAAATATAATCGTGTTGTACACTAAAATAATAAATTTCGTTTACCAGTTTTTGGTGATCTATTTCGCCCCTGAGTCAACGAGTAACATTGTGTGTCAGATCGTCTGGCCAACATACATGTAATATAGACTCCATCTTCACCAATAACCTAAAGTAAGTTCCATTATTCTCTCAGCATTTTTTTCAACTTGTTAAGTATTTCATTCAAGTAAGTAATTCATATCAATAAAAATAATAATAATAAAATAATAATAATAAAAAAAATAATAAAAATAATAATAATAATAAAATAATAATAAAAAATAAATAATAATAATAAAAATTATTTTTTATTATTTTTATTTTTATATTTTATTATTAAATTTTTATTATTATATTATTTTTTTATGTGTTGAGTCTAATCAATATAATTAAAGGGGGTAGGTAGTAGTTTGGGGAGACAGCAACACCCGGAAGTACTACCGCCTGCCAGATGATGTGAAAAAAGAAAATGTAACGTTTTGATGGGTAGGGTTGCTGGTTTTTTTTTTGTCTCATAAACACGCTAATAACAGGGGTATCTTGCTACTCCCACTTACCTTTTTGGGCACACTTCACAACACCACTGCATTTATATATATAATATTATATTTATTAATTATATTTTATAATATAAATATATATTTTAAAATATTATATTATATTATATATATACATACATCTAGGTTTTTTCCTTTTCTAAAAAGCTCTTTTTCTTCTTTATTTCTTCTATTGTCCCTGGGGGAATGGAAAAGAATCTTTTCCCCCCGTAAGCCATGTTGTCGATGAGGCCTAAAACCGGGAGCAATGGGCTAGTAACCCCCTTTTCCCCGTAGACTTTAAATAAAAAAAGGAAGAAGAAAAACTTTATAAAACGGGGTTTAAATGGCGTGGGTGTAGTGCGGATACAAGAAACGTTATTGCTGATGTTATGAAGAAAAGAAGTTGGATGTCCCGGCCCTAAGCGAAACAAAGCGAAGGGGGTAGGGGTTTCGGGGGGGGGAAATAAATGGGATTAAAAACTGGATATCTGAGAGAGTTAGAGCAAAGGAAGGGGACAGTAAGTTTTTAATGTCAGTTTTGGAAAGGGAAAAAAAAAAATGAAAAGTAAATCAAGAATTATTGGATTAAAGAAAGGTTGGATGCGAGAATTTGGGGCATAAAACCTGTATGCACCTGGGGAAGAAGGAATGCAGAGGAAGAGAGAGATTTTGGAATGTTTTAATGAATGTATAGGGGCCTTTGAAGCAAGTGGGGAAAAATTGGGTAGGGGACCTGAATGCTAAAGTAGGAGAAACTTTTAGAGAGGGGGGTAGGGAGTTTGGGGGGGCCATGTAAAGATAATGGAGCCCTTTGTTGAACTTTGTATAGAAAGGGGTTTAGTTATAGGTAAAACTATTTTAAGAAAAAGAAGATAAGTATACCAATATGATGTAGGGGGAAATGACAGTAGTTTGTTTTATTAAGATTGGTAGATAAAAAAATGTTGAGTAGATTCGGAGTACATTTTTTTAGAGGGGGCCCCAGATATATAGATCACTTTAAGCTGTAGCTAACTGAAGTAAAAGGGAGATGGGAAGCAGGAGAAAAAAGCCCAGGAGAGAGAGGTGAAAATTTATAAACTAAAAAAGGGGGGAAAAGTTTTTTTTTGGTAAGATATAAACAGTTTGAGGATAGATGGGTAATGGGCATAGACATGGGGTCGAAGAGGGATTGGAGGTTTTAAAAATGAGTTAGAGTGTTCAGCAGAAGTTTGTGGTTTTCAGGGAAAATGGTGCGGGAGGAAAAGGACGATTGGTGGGAAAGGATGTGAAAAGGGGATATGATGTTAAAAAAGGG